ATAACCCTGTATATATATATATACAGATATATATATATATATATATATAAGTTATAATATTATTTATACAAGTGAAACTAGCAGCCTTTTCGACTATAGCAAACTTCCTAATTGGTATGGATATCTTCTGGTGGAATACACTGAGGACCAAATTTCTCTGACGACTTGAGTTCAATCTGTATGAGAGAGAAGTGTGTAGAGACAGATATGCAAGAAAAAGATAAAAGCCGACTGGATAGCGAAGCTCATCACCGCGTTACCTAGCAACGCTAACATGGCAATCTGCCGCGTCGCCAATATGTTACACCAGTTCCTTGAGTTAAGATGCCTGTTGAAAATATGCGTTAGTTGGTTCTCTACGCCCGTTGATGGTTTATTGTGAATTATATCGAATCTGTTTAGGATCGATTCCGGATCGGTCCTAACGGCGCTCTATTTTAGGTCGAAATGAAAGGTCAGGTTGGCCACAAATTCTGCAACATTGTATCATGGATTCGCTTGGCAGCACCGCTTATCGGTCATTCCAAGGCAAGCTTCCCACCTCCAAGATCTCAAATGAGCGATTTCTGTCAGTACCCATCTAGCGCTCATTGCCGACGGCATTGATAACACTGTTCTGCACGAAAATCCTCTCCGTCAAACAAATACGTCAGTTCGATAAGTTCTACATATTTAACCCTTACACCGACCTTTAAATTGTCGTATCATGTAACGGGCTCCAGAGAGAAGCAGGTGTAAGAATGTATTTGTGTAATATTTATCTGTCTATAGCATAATGGGTTACGACGTTGCCAAGTCTACATTTTCTCTTAGTCTAGGGAAAGTATATACAATCTGCCAACACCGCATAAGGGGTATCTGGGAATGTCTCTCATCTACGAAGTCTCAGCCCCCTAGGGCTTCAGATTTCACCGTACCCTATAGTCGTCGGACGGCTACTTATTGAATGGCCCCTGTATACCTAAATTGTTTCCCATCTCTTGTTTCCCGCTGTTTTTAGAAAAGACCAGATGTTCGAAATGGGTATATAAGCACCCAGCCGCTTGTAGGAGGATCAGCATTACAGTACGGTAACGGTAACCTAAGAATTTTTTTTTCGTGAAACCCTTAGATAAGAAGGAAATGCACTCCTTTATTTGAGACGGAAATTCCCGCGTATAAGTGAAGCAAAGGAATATTCGTTGGACCTTTTCAAGGACCCAAATTTCAAAACTACACTATCGAGAAAGGAAAAAAGGGCAGATGATGCCTTCAAAAATAAATGTAGGAACTTCCTACTCAACAAAAAGTTTGACAACTACAAAGATCTAGTTGAAGAACTATATGTCCCAATATGTCACTTAGGCTGCATTTTCTTCACTCCCATGTAGAATTCTTCCCTGACAATTTGGGTGTAAAGTATATTCAGATAAGAGATAGACCGGATATAAACAAGACCACGTGATCATCGAACGCTGTAACATTCGGCAGGGACGTATTAAGAGTCACGCAGTACATATTTTAGATAGTAGATGCTGCTTTGCGTAACTTTGTAGTAAATTAGCACAATTCGATGTGTATACGATTGGTGATGGATATAGGATCATGTGGGGGTGGGGTAAGAAATATATAATGATGTAAATATACATAAGGGTTTCAAAATTTTCGCTTCGATTTCCAGCTTCGGATGCCGCCTGATGTTTGGTGAAATACAGTCGAATATAATCTCAAAATGGCGTTTAAATTAGCCTAAATTAAAAATAATCGTATATCTCTTAAAATTGCTTTTAGAATATTGATTAGTATATTTTTTGATTTCTAGGTAAATATGTAACCAAATTAAAACATTCAAAATGTAAAAAAATGTGCATGGTTGAACATTGTCAGAAAGTAGATTCTTGAATAGGTTTTGCCAAAATGGGTTCAAAAATGTCAATAATTAATTAAAAAATACAGTAGCTTTATAATTACTTATAACTTACCGAATTTGATGAACGACATCTTTTATTGGAAAGATGAGCTTGATGAGCTTTCATCATCGCTACTGCCTGAAGCACCAACGTCAATAATGAATGGCTCGACTTGTTCCTCTAAAATATTGTCCAGTTCCCACATTCTCTTTTCAACTTTGTCTTTCACGTGCTTAGTACAGTTTTTCCATTTTTGCGTTGTTATTAATTCTATTGCTTCTTTGAAAAGTCCTTTGAGGGCACAAAATTTAAAAGTTGTATTGTGCTTAACTATATAATTTTTAACCTCTGCCCATATGAGATCAATGGGATTGAGCTCGCAATGGTATGGAGGTAAACGGAGCACAGTTTTATTCTGATTTGCTGCCATTTCGTCAATGGCGTATTTTTGATATTCCGCCTTGTGATCCTTGACAATTCTTAATAATTGTACTTTCAGCATTGCTTCTTCAAAGTTGATATTTTTCGAGCGGAGCCAATTTTGAACATCAACTTTCCTTGAAGCCGTTGTTGGGACCTTCTCCATTCTTCGAGAATGATAAGGCGCATTATCCAACACAATTACTGCGTTTTCCTCTAAGTTCGGTAAAATTTTTGAAAACCACTGTTCATTCATTTCCTCGTGGTAATCTCCAGTTTTCTTAGACTCAAAGCACCACAGACCGTCAACAACAAATCCATCCTCACTGCCAATATGGCAGATAATGAGCCTTTTCCCTTTACCTGGAAATCGAAGTACTAACTGGTGTAGATTTATTTCAATAAGCGAACCTTTTTCAAATGTTTTCATCACATTCAGCGAAAAAACATTGAGACATGAGTATCAGATTGCTATAATTGGGATTATTTAGTCATATTGAAAGAAAGAATATTGAACGTCGTATGATTACTCAGCGCTTCACAATTTAATTTAAAGTTATAAACCTTTAAAAAATGAATGATCAGGAACCTGAAATACGCGCAAATATTAATATTAACAAATTATAACTTTATAAAGCTTAAAGTATGAATTAAAATGATTAGAAATATTAGGAACGGTACACAATATAAAACTTAGTAACTTTTTTAAGTTTATAATATTCGACATATTTTAAGATTGTATTAAAAAATTATTGAAATATCGAAAACACATAAAAACATGGCTTAAAAAAGTTCTAACAAATGAAAATGACAATAACACATCCACGCATTTTAAAGAAAGTTATAAAAGTTTTGTTACTTGTAATATGTTTTATCTGCCCCCTGGAATTAATGTTTAGAACCTTGTTCCCAAAGTTTGAAAAACATCCGATTGTTGTCTATTACTCGTATTTACCTGCTGGATTTTTTAATCCGGTGGACAGTCCATCTAGAAAGGCCCTCCTGGATGAAGTTACAGAATCATCAACCCATACTTTACTTGTAGTGTGTCCTGCGTTTACCCACGTTTCATCAAGGTAATAAATCTTCCTGTTTTGATTTCTATATTTCCCAATTTTTGTTAAATAATCCCTCCTCCATAGCACAATTTCTTCTCTATCCAGTAGTAAACTATTACGACCCCGTTTTTTCCATTTGAAATTTAAATGCTTCAGTAACGCATGGAACGTGGATCGTTTGAAATTTGGCAACGTTGTATCTCCATTTACCTCCTGCAGTACTTTATCTATAGTAGGTATTTCATTCCTAAAGAAGAATTCATGCACTTTCCTCCTAATCGCATGCTTATCAGCTTCATCCAATGATTTAACAATACTTTTGCGATGTTTACTAGTCATTGGCTCAGAAAAGGTGTGATTTTTTTTGTATTGTCTTAACACATTAAACACTGATGCGCGACACACCCCAACTTTGTGAGAAACCTTCACAACAATTTCTTTGATGGTTGATGCCTCGTTCTCGTCGCGCTCGATCTTATATACGTATATATTCAAAATGACCTCTTTCATTTCTGCACTCAGGTGTCTTTTTTTAGAGCGTTTCCTAGGTGGACTACAGGAGTTTACAACTTCATCGGCAGTATCTGTACTACTGGGCATTTTGCGCAAGCAGTTGATAACAATAACAATCAATAACAAGGTATAACAATAACAACGACAAACTTAACAACTTAATAAGATAACAAACGAAAACGTCCAAAGAAATATCAAATTGCAATGATGCACACGACATACGTAACACGTCTGAACCTGAATGTGACTCTGCCTTGATACGACTGCTCTGCCGCTCGGCATAGGCATTTAATTGCGAATTGACCAATGAGGGCTCCTGTTTTACGTCGAGACGGCGGCGTTAGCGTGAAAATCACCCGAACCTTTTGTTTATATCCGGTCTATCTCTTATCTGAATATACTGTAGTTTCAGACAAGCATGGCAAAAGATTTCACCCGCCAATTGCTCAGATGGAGAAGCACTAGTGGAAAATGGACCATAAACATGCTGGCGGACTACTGCTGGACCATTAAACGTGAAAGCGCTCCTGGCGAATACAAGCAAAAAAGACAACAAATAAATTGTTTGATTATTTTTTATAGAATAAGAAGTATATTTTCTAAAAAGTGGATGTTATTTTGTTAATTTTCAAAAATCCACCACTAGATCGCTTATAATTTGGGATTTTCATATTTTATATTCTCCCTTCTCTAAAAACTTGTAGGTGATGGGGAGAAACCGACTGCATATTAGATTTCAGTACCACACAGTATACGCAAAATACATGAAACAATTTCTGAGCGCGACAAAAATTTCCAGAATGCCAAGCAGTGTAATTTGTATTGCGTAATGGTACTTGTTACGTTTGTGTAAGTGTAACAATAACTCATTAAAAAAACATTAAATTAAATGTTTGAAAAGTCCTCCTTCTTGGGTTTGACAGTAACCTAACCTATTGTAGAAGCCTCCGCGATAATTGCACGACCTTCTGCGTCACCGTTGCCAGGCAATGTGGTGATGACCTTCGCTCTTCAGTCGGCATCTATCTCTTTCTAACATCTTTTGATACACACCTCTCACGCTTCTCTCTCGTACACATTGAACTCAAGTAGATTGACTTTGTATTTCTCGGGCACTTACCTCTTGGCTCAAATGGTCGGTGCATAAAGGTGGAAGGTTCGTGAGGAGAGCATGGATATCTTCAGTTTTGAAGCTCTCCATGTCTGCCTCGGCAAGATTCGCGTCCATGTTTTTCGAGAAGATGTCGTAATAGATGACGTCGCCGGCATCGTATGATTCGGGCAACGATAAGATGCTGGTATGGTGGTTGGTGCTGCCATCTCTGTATCTGAAACAATAAGGTCGGTAAAATAGTTATCTATGTGTGTGGGCTCTAACAGGCCAAGCTACATGATTGCTTAGTATGCCCGAGATCCATACAAAGTTTTATTTAACGAGCGGAAATATAGATAATGAAAAAATGGGCTCAAGTAGATTGACTCTATACTTCCTACGACTTCGTTGGATATTTCAAAGAATAGGGATGAGTCAAGTCGTTTCAAAAAGGCGGACTCGAATCGTCATTAGGGAGGTTCACCTAGGTACGACGAATCTTAGATCGCTACATATATCAAACTATACAAAATAAATCTGTCAACGTTATGTTTCCATGGCAGATGTAGAGAAAATATGTGACTTTGTAACGCTTCCTTTCCGCAAAAAGTCCAGAAAAGATGGAATGCAATGAAGATTCCAGCTTTTCTGCACAATCACAGAAAGGGGGTTACCATTAGCTTCCGGTAGCTCAGTCGGTGGCATGAAGACATCTACAGCCGTGTAGCTGTATGTCGACCATGGCATGGCTAGAGGATAGAAGAACAAACAGAACACAAAAATTTAACAGATTTTATTTAACAAAAAAGCATTTTCATTACATTTGAAATTGAAATTTAAAAAAAAAAAACAAAATAAATTTTAAATCTTTGGCGCTGCTATAAACTGGTCCATTTTGACTGGACTGAAGCGAGGGTGGCCAGGTGCTTGAAGTGGAGGTCCTAGTTATGAGGGGTGACATCACATTTAGTGGCTTCAAAACCAGTTGTAGGCGAAGTTGAACTTAAAGGTGATGGCGCTGCCAAGGCACATGCATGGGTGAAGTGATAGGCCAAGCAATGCAAAGTCAAAGACTACATGAGTTGCAAAGGCAAAAGTCAAAGACAAAGGCAAAGGGAAAGGGGGTGGCCCCAATCATTTTGTCCTATTCGGACACACATTCTACAAACCGCTAGCACATGGTGCTATATGACCTCATGCTACAGAGAACAAAATTCTTAGCTCTTGTTCGATCGGCGGCTCAAGTGAAAAGGAAGCGCGAGGAAGATCTCAGATCAGGAACTCCGCATCAAGCGCGCTCCAAGCGGAAATTTTTCCAAGTAAAAAAGCTAGAGATGGGATTAATGAAATGATAATCGAGAAGTGATTTAATAAATACGATCGGACGGTGAAACCATCACACTCGCCCCTACTTAACCAAAAAAAAATTCGAAGAAGCATTCAAGAATTTTTTTTATTTAACAAGGAAATTGAAAGTTATCACGGAAGGACAAATGTACAACCATTCGACCAGATAACAAGTAGCAAAAGTAAGGTAGAAACAAAAATGTTAGAAGAGAATTGGAAGAAAAAGGGATAGCCTCAAGTCTACCAAACAAGAGGGATGGTTATAGCACCAACTCGCTGAAAAGTACAGTGACGTTGCACTTAAAAAAACTATCCTCATATGATGAAAAGCCCAAAACATAAAACATCGTCACACCTAGGACGAGAAAAATAATAAACCAAAAGCTTCAGCAATAGTCCAAGCACGAAGTGGGGAATCACAATGGCTTCCAAAATGCACGACTGACTACTAAAAACTTCAAAACTCTAAGTAAGTACCTAAACCATAAGAGGTACTAAAAAAACAGAATAATAAACTTTCTCAAAACAATTGCCAGATTATATCGCAATGCTCCAAACCCAAAAAGAATATCATCTACAGTGATATTTTAAACCAATATCCAATATAAAAAAACTATGCATTACTATTTTCAAAATATGAAAATAAAAAAAAATTAACAAATTCTATTAGGAATTCAAGTCATACGTATAACAAAACAATTTACAAGTACTGAACCAATGAAAACTTGATCAAGAAGGTATTTTAATCAAAAAAAGATGTTAACTAGGTGCAGTTCTGATTCCACAAAAAATTGTCGGGCACCAGCAGTCTGTAAGACTACAAAATAATTCAAAATGTTTTCAGAGAATTAAAGAATATAAGAGACATTCATGAAATATTGAAGTAAGATTTTCAAAGTCAAAATATAGCTTAAGTTCAATCAATGAACTAAAACTCAAGAGTAAGTTCAATCAAAATTTTCGGGTCATGTGACAACATAAGAACCAGACCAAAAAAAAAAATTCTGAAGTTCAATATAGAAAAGAGCAAAATAAATTTCAAAAAAAAAACAAGTGCAACACAGGTGCAACTGCAAATCTAATAGTATTAAAATCATAAAGTGTAAGGGAATATCAAAGCTATATGAGCATGAGTTTATAAAGAATTCTCAAAAAAATACAAAAGTAAGCAAAATATTAAAAGTTTCATGAGTAATAAATGAGACACGAAGTGAGCATATGTAAAATGCAAAATAGCGAAACGAAAATCACAAGATATTTTAATAAATCATGATACATGAGAGTAATGCCGCAAGCAAAAATCGTATGCAAAAGTCTACGATATATGTAGGTGCAAAATTGGAGTTATAAAAAAACAATCTAGTGAACAAGAAATAGAAATAAATATGATAGGTAAGAATTCGAATTTTGATTTAAAGCAAAAATATGAGAGAAAGACAACTTTCTAGGGTCACCATAGGTGCACTCCAAAGCCCTAGACAAGAATGTCTATAGTCTATGGAATATTCTCATGTAGATCACTGATATCATCAGCGCGCTTCAAAGTCTACACTGAGAATAACCATATCATTGTAAAATGAAAGTTAAGTTCAAATATGAAATATTACAAGATTAGAAAAACTATAATAATTTACCAGTGTAAAGTATGAGAAGAGAATTACTATACTGAATCTATAAGAATAGGCGATTACTTCAAGTCAAGACAGAAATTGAAAGAAATAAGAAGTCGGAAAAAAACTATGAGAGCAGACTATCAAAACAAATGCAATAATGCAAAAGCAAAATCACCAGATATTTCAAAATCTATAGCGAAACATGAAAGCAATGTCACAACCAAGCCCAAGACTTAGCAATACGCACAAATGTGCACAAAGGCTGAGAGCATATATGAAAAATCTCAAGAAAGAATTGAAAATTACTTCAAATCAAATTGAACTGATTGAATTGAACTGAGATATAAATTACTATATCAAAAGTGAGTTTTACTTATACGCCAGAGGTTTCAAGAGTTTATCAATACGCACAGATTTGCAACTAGGCGGAAAGCATATATAACAAGTCTCAAGAAGAAAATAAAATGCATATGAAGAAAACACTTTCAATTAAAGAAACTGTGGATAGTACAAGACCCTCAAAGGCATACATCGCAACGAATCTATGTAACTATCCAGACTACAAAATACTGTCAAAGTTCAAAACCACTCAAAAATATGTGAACAAACATCAAAAGTTTGAACCAAAAATCAATGTAAGTCTGTGCTCTCGAAGAAAGTTATAATGAATTCAAAAAGAGGATACTATCAAAAACTTCAAAAGTAATAGAGTTCAAAAATAGAGGTACGTAAGTATGTAAAAGAAATTCAGAAAATATACGCATAAAAACATTACAAAATATTATACACAGTATTTGTCACATGATTTTGATCGGGAATGCAATTTAAATTTTGAGTACACTCAGAAAAATGAAATATTCAATAGATGAAGTATACACATTAAATTGGAATCAGAAAAATAATTATGACTTGTAAATTTTGTAAATGGTGGACTGACGTAATAGTTCAAAAGGTTGAAAGAACAACGATGACAAATGTCCAAAGTAAACATTCACCTGCCTTTTACAGGAAATTAGCTTAGCAATTATCAAAGGAAATTCTTATCCGTTCGCAGCTGTACTAGGAAATAAATATAGGAAAACCTACTCGCTCCAATGTACAGATCGAAAAACTCGCCCCCTTCGATTGAGCGGAAATATGAGTATTGGACTGATTGTAATATTTCAAAAGGTTGAAGGATCAACGATGTTAAATGTCCAAAGTAAACAATCAGCTGCCTCTTACAGCAAATAAGTTTAATCATTATCAAAGGAAATTCTTGTCCGTTCGCATCTGTACTAGGAAATAAATATAGGAAAACCTACTCACTCCAATGTACAGATCGAAAAACTCGCCCCCTTCGATTGAGCGGAACTAGGAGTATTGGACTGATTGTAATATTTCAAAAGGTTGAAGGATCAACGATGTTAAATGTCCAAAGTAAACAATCAGCTGCCTCTTACAGCAAATAAGTTTAATCATTATCAAAGGAAATTCTTGTCCGTTCGCATCTGTACTAGGAAATAAATATAGGAAAACCTACTCGCTCCAATGTACAGATCGAAAAACTCGCCCCCTTCGATTGAGCGGAAATATGAGTATTGGACTGATTGTAATATTTCAAAAGGTTGAAGGATCAACGTTGTTAAATGTCCAAAGTAAACAATCAGCTGCCTCTTACAGCAAATAAGTTTATTCATTATCAAAGGAAATTCTTGTCCGTTCGCATCTGTACTAGGAAATAAATATAGGAAAACCTACTCGCTCCAATGTACAGATCGAAAAACTCGCCCCCTTCGATTGAGCGGATTTTTTTTGTAATTATTATATTTAAAAAAAAATAAAGTTAAAAACCTGAATACATCAATAAATGACAAGGATCCAAAGCACTATAAAAAACTAACAATACAAACAAAAAGTTTCAATACAAAAACAGGAGCAGCCGAATCTTAAAAAAATTATTTTATATCTGACATACATTAAAAAAGTACAGAGACGTTCAAGTCCTGTTAATCCAATGGAAAATCAGACACTAATGTTCTAATTTCCCCCAAAGAATATGCCAGATAAAACTATAAAACATTAAAATTATAAAAACTATATGCTCCAAACAAGAGACAAAATTACTACAATAGAGACTGAGGAACGTATACAAAGTTTCCAAAAATTATGTGTTTTTAAATGTTTCCGATACTACCAGTCATTTTGATGCAAAGTCAATCTACTTGACTTCATTTCTTTGAGTTTATTCACCTTTCTCCTGTGTTGATTCTAAGATTAACATATGAAACATGGT